TCAGTATATTGACCAACTCTGGAAACTCCTTTGTCTTTACATCAAGTGGTCTCCTTTATCTCCCAGCCGCTCCCTCTCGAATTTGACATAGAAGCAGTGAATATGCAATTACATCAAGGATTACCATAAATACAATGAGTTCATAAAAGAGAAGAATCAAATCTAACAGGGAAGTTGGTTACATTTCTCTACTTGATAATGTACAGAAAATATTGATTGATGGTAACACTTATTATTATTATTATTTCATGTTTATTTGTGAATTGATATATTATTGTTGTGTGTGCATGTGTGTGTGTGTGTGTGTGTGTGTGTGTTATAGTGTGGAGAATTACATAACAACCCTTCGACATCTTTATGTATCCGGTGGTTGAACAATTTAGAGATAACTGACCATTTAGGAACCATTTTCACTGCCATTCACCGCTACCCAGACCTATTCATCTTGAAGAACAAACAGGGCATAAGAACAGTAAGATATTATGAAGAAGGGGAGATGGGAGGAGGGAGGAGAGAAGTGGACGAATAAAGAGGAAGGTGTGCAGTAGCCGTTTCGGTCTGTCTGCCTCACTCACTGGTACAGTCTCCTCCAGGGCAGATGTACCCTCTCCAGTACAGTCTCTCAGGAGTGACCTATCCAGTACCTCTCCAGGGTCTTCACCATTTCTCCTCCAGGGCCCCAGTGTGCCCTCATTCCAGTCTCCTCCAGGGCCAATGAAGCCTCCTCCAGTACTACCTCCTCCAGGGCCCCATGTACCCTCTCCCGGTACCAGTCTCCTCCAGGGCCCCAGTGCCTCTCCCGGTACTATCTCCGAACTGGTGCCTCTCAGTACTACCCCTCCTCCAGGGCCCCAGTGCCCTCTCCGGTACAGCCTTCTCCAGGGAGACTGATGTGCCCTCTCATACCAGTCTCCTCCAGGCCCCCAGTGCCTCGTACTACCTCCTCCAGGGCCCCAGTGTGCCCTCCTCCCGGTGACAGCCTTCTCACTCAGTGCCTCTCAGAGTCCTCAGGCCCCAGTGAACCCCTCCTACTACCTCCTCCAAGGGCCCCAGTGAACCCTCTCCCGGTACTACCTTCTAGTGAGCCTCTCACTGCCTCTCCCAGGTGCCTCCAAGTGTACCCTCCGAGACTGGTGTGCCTCAGTGACTCCTCATCCAGTGAGACCTCCTCCGTGCAGTCTCCTCGAGCCTGATGAGCCCTCTCCCGGTACTACCTCCTCCAGGGCCCCAGTGACCCTGTCCAGTACTACCTCTCAGGGCCCCAGTGCCCCCTCCCAGTACAGTCTCCTCCAGGGCCCCCAGTGTACCCTCTCCCGGTACTACCTCCTCCAGGGCCCCAGTGTACCCCTCCCGGTACTACCTCATCCAGGGCCCCCAGTGTGCCCCTGTCCAGTACTACCTCCTCCAGGGCCCAGTGTGCCCTCTCCCGGTACCCAGTCTCCTCCAGGGCCCCAGTGTGCCCTCTCCCATTCCTCCTCCAGGCCCCAGTGCCCTCTCCCGGTACTCCCTCCCAGGCCCCAGTGTCCCTCTCCCGGTACTACCTCCTCCAGGGCCCCAGTGCCCTCTCCCGGTACAGTCTCCTCCAGGGCCCCAGTGTGCCCCTCTCGGTACTACCTCCTCCAGGGCCCCAGTGTGCCTCTCCCGGTACTACCTCCTCCAGGGCCCAGTGCCTCGGTACAGTCTCCTCCAGGGCCCCAGTGTACCCTCTCCCGGTACTACCTCCTCCAGGGCCCCCAGTGTACCCTCTCCGGTACTACCTCCTCCCGGGGCCCCAGTGTACCCTCCGGTACAGTCTCCTCCAGGGCCCCAGTGTACCCTCCCGGTACTACCTCCTCCAGGGCCCCAGTGTACCCTCTCCCGGTACAGTCTCCTCCTAGGGCCCCAGTGTGTGCCCTCTCCCGGTACTACCTCCTCCAGGGCCCCAGTGTACCCTCTCCCGGTACAGCCTTCTCCAGGGCCCCAGTGTACCCTCTCCCGGTACAGCTCAGTGATAGTAATGGTTCACGTTTTCTATGATAATTAACTTGTTGACCCAGAAGCGCTCTGTGTGTGTGTGGGGGGAGGGGGGTAGCAGTCAGGGTCTGCAGATAGACAGGCATATAATTTAACCCGACGCACTTTATGATAATTGACCCTGTTAATATAACTTCTGAGGGATCTCTCTCTCTCTCTCTCTCTCTCCTCTCTCTCTCTCTCTCTCTCTCTCTCTTTCTCTCTCTCTCTCTCTCTCTCTCTCTCTCTCTCTCTCTCTCTCTCTCTCTCTCAGTTCATCCATTAATGTATTGTGTCTCAGTTAACAACACACCTGTCATAACACAACACCTGTCATAACAACACACCTGCCAAAAGAGATATAGTTACCCTGGAACAACACTGGAACAACACTGGAACACACAGCAACACCCCCTACTCCCCACCCCCAACAGCACGTCGTCTCCCCGTTACCCTGTCACGTGACCCCAAGATAAATCACATCGCTCTGGCCCAGTGAGGAGAGCCATGTAGAGCCTTGTGATCCCCGTCGACCTTACCAGCTTTTACAGTTCTCTACCACACAAAGCGTTATACCTGTTCCCTCCCCTATAACAGTCCTCCTCTCACCCCCTAGTACTGCCTCTCTCACTTCTCCGCCTCACACAACAAGAGGTCCACCTACACACAACAGAGGCCCACCTACACACAACAGAGGCCCACCTACACACACAACAGAGGCCCTCTTACACACAACAAAGGCCCTCTTACACACAGCAGGGCCCACCTACACACAACAGAGGCCCACCTACCACACACAGGGCCCACCTACAGCAGAGGCCCACCTACACACAACAGGGGCCACCTACACAACAGAGGCCCTCTTACACACAACAGAGGCCCACCTACACACAACAGAGGCCCTCTTACACACACAGCAGGCCCTCTTACACACAACAGAGGCCCTCTTACACACAACAGAGGCCCACCTACACACAACAGGGCCCTCTTACACACAACAGAGGCCCACCTAAACACAACAGAGGCCCTCTTACACACAACAGGGCCCTCTTCACACAACAGAGGACCTCTTACACACAACAGGGACCTCTTACACACAACAGAGGCCCACCTACAACAGAGGCCCACCTACAACAGAGGCCCACCTACATACAACAGAGCCACCTACCCACAACAGGGCCCACCTACAGGCCTACACACAACAGAGGCAGATAGAAGGTGGTGTGTGCTTTAGGGTCAGTGTTCAGGGTCTGGCATCGTGGTCAATAATTGGTGTAGAAATAATCTGGGTTAAACCTTCAGTCTGAGAACAATTTTCCATAATACATTTGGCTTCGATCGGCGTCAGGATACAATTTAGCTAAACCTGATGACTGCTGTATCGATCCTCAGTCTTCAGCCAATAGCACCTTAACTAGTATTTTTTTAGTAATAGTATATTACATCTTAAATTAAACAAAAATACACACACACACACACACACACACACACACACACACACACACACACACACACACACACACACACACACACACACACACACACACACCCTTCCATTACTCTAGGTCCCCAACACACTCCAGGTTGTAGATTCACTAAAGCTCCTCATCACCATAGACAACAAACTAAATTAGACACGTCAGTGATTGTCAAATCCTCCAGTTTCCGTCTCCACCTCCTCTCCGCCATCAAGTCCCTCAGGTTCCTGCCCCAGAAGCTCCTCAGTGTTTACTCAACATTCATACTTCCCAAGCTCACCTATGCCTCCCCTACCTGGTCTTCCTCCTAAATGCCACACAACGTAAACACCTGAAAAAAAGTGCAAGAGGGCATGCAGAGTATTCTCTCCCTTCCTACTCCACATATCAAGAAAGCGCTCAACACACTGACCCTTTCGGCTCTCACTGACCATCACAACGACCTCATCTGTAAATTTGTCAGAGCTTCTGCACCATCCTCGACACCGTCCTACTACCACCCGAGATCCCTCGTCCGAAATTGCTGTTCGACACCACAACCGCACCCAGCCCATGCGAGCACGTACTGATCGCTATAAGAACAGCCCAGTCCCAACCATTGTAAAAATAATCAATAACGTGTAATCAACCAGTTTATTCACTCCCAGTCAATCTTACCTTTTGCACTGTCACTATGTTGAAATGCCCTGTAGTATGACCTTCTCCCCACCTAGTTATTATATATCATATCTGTATCACTTATGTTACTTGTATATTATTTGTAAATCAAGAGACCCATTCCTCTATTATGGAACTGTATATTTTAAACCTTCCGGCTGCCATGCTCTTTCAATAAGCCATTAATTATTATTATTATTATTATTATTATTATTATTATTATTATTATTATCACACACACACACACACACACACACACACACACACAGGTAAGCTGCCCTTTAGACCCGTTAATTAAATTCCTTCGTCACTTTCAGCGTCCATCATATATTCATTCTTGTGATTCACTCTCCCACCGTCACTCACAACCGTCACTCACAAGTCACTCAAAACCATCACTCATAATCGTCACTTATAATCGTCACTCATAAGCGTCACTCATAACAGTCAGTCACAACCGTCACCACCAACAGTCACTCACAACCATAACTCACAACCGTCACTTATGACCGTCACTCATAACCATCACTCACAACCGTCACTCATAACCATCACTCACATCCATCACCTATAACCGTCACTCATAACCGTCCCACACAATCGTCACTCACAACCGTCACCCACAACCGTCGCACTAATATCAGCGTCACTCACAACCGTCACTCACAACCATCACGTACAGTAACAGTAACACACATCGTATGTAAAGAAATAATTAATATACACATATAAACATGGCCACACACACACAGGGAGGTACTACCACCTGGGAAGATATTGAAACATAATGTGTTGTCTAATGGTAGACCCTGCTGCCATATGTGACCAAGTCCCAGGTTGATGATCTGACTTTCTGCCTCATTTACACACAATTGCTGGGTCTCAATTGTTTCTCTTACTATTGACAACACAACATATATAACCGTACTCACTCTTGATCTGTTCTATTCTTTTACTCTCTCATGTTATCAGTTGACAGTAATATTAAAGCGGGGTCTTCTAGGATGGGTCGGGAAGGTTGTGGACCCCAGGGCCGACCTGATCATCATCAAGCTACTGGGGCCTCAACTGACGCCACCGCGGTTGCTGGAGGATCGACTTTTTTCACACATTATTTTTCCAACATTCGCGGCCTGAGATCCAATTTTCCTTCTGTGGAGCACCATCTATTAACCTCTTCTCCCGACCTCTTACTATTATCTGAACTTTAACTGACCAAAGCAGCTTCACCCAAACCTTTTCAAGTCTCCAACTATAACCTTTATACCTCCTTCCGTTCTAAGGGAGGTGTATGCGCTTACTGCAACACACATACACCTATAGTTCGACTCACCGATCGTGACTCTTCTCTTTATGACGTCATCTAGCTCAAAATATCTCTACCAACTATAACTACTTTTCTTTGTTTCCTATACTGTTCTCCCAACTCTACCAACTATTTGGAACTCTTTGACTATCTCACTTCTTGCCATGAGTCGTTGCTATCCACACACCCCAACACCGAGATCCTCTACCTAGGGGATTTCAATGTACATCACAGAGAGTGGCTTGAGTCTGCAAGGGATGACCCAGGTGGAGGTGAGGTACTCTCTTTTTCCTTACTTAATGATCTGGAACAAATAATCAAACACCCTACACGTGTTCCTGATCGACACGATCCACTTACTAACATTCTTGATCTTTGTTTTACCTCTAATCCCTCACACTATTCATACTCAATTTCTGTCCCCTTAGGGTCTTCTGATCACAACCTTATTTCTATTAAATCAAACTGGGCACGACCACCTCCCCCACCCCCCTCTAAACGTCAACTATGGCTCTATCGGAGGGCAAGCTGGCAATCCTTGCGAGAATTCTTCTCCGACTTTCCTTGGGATGAATGTTGCTTTTCCACTCGGGATGCCTCAGTATGTGCTGACAGCATTGCTGGGGTTATACAGGGCGGTATGAGTGCATTTATTCCATCTTCTACCAAAACTTTCACTTTACAATCATGGTTTGATCGCTCCTGTTCTCCTGCTTGTAGGGTGAGAGATAGGGCGTATCAAATTATGAAACTATCTCCT